CAGGTGGCACACAGCAGGAAGGATCAACATGTAACGTAGGCACTCTTGTGTACAAACCATCTACCAGTATCTACCTCTCTGTCTATCTCTGTCTCTATCTCTGTCTGTCTCTGTCTCTATCTCTGTCTGTCTCTGTCTGTCTCTGTCTGTCTCTCTGTCTGTCTCTCTGTCTGTCTCTCTGTCTGTCTGTCTGTCTGTCTGTCTGTCTGTCTGTCTAACTCAATCAATGAATCAATCAACCAATTGCTCAATCACTCCATCAATCATAAAGATCACGTATATCACATTCCATTTGAGGTCCAATTACCCACTCTATCACGTCCATCCGTTTGCTCTGCTTTTGAGACTCGCCACTGCCACTCAGATTATAATGGGCTGTGCTGCGCCTGTAGGCCTCGTCGATGCTTTCCAAGACGTTGCTGTGGGCAGCCAGGTCCTACAGGAGCACACATGGGTGGAACATTGAGGCATGGTGCAGCTAAACCAAAATTAACTCGTATTGAGGAAGCAGGGCACCAGGAGGCGATCATTGCAATGATGTCGGAGTTCATGAGTGTGTTATTTTGCCCCTGTAAGAATGGACAACATGGAACAAGCAACACCGATTCTCCAGCACACATGTACCTTGTGACCGCGTGTATCAATCAATGCTCGAGAAAACACATGTGGCATTGACGTGCTTACAACATGACCAGAAATGGTAGGATCGTTTTAACTGTTAACTGTCCAGTTTCTGCCAGAAACAACTTGTTCTGCGAAGCATCAACAAGTATATTTTAATGCTGGCAAGTGAGTGGCAGCCCCACAGAAGCCAGGAACTACAAAAAAAAGACCCTGTCCCTGTCAGATCCTAACTCCACCATGGAAAAAACGTATTCTTCCAGTCGCTGTAGAGAGGACCTTGACAGCATCCACGCGTCAGCAATACACGAAAAACACCTGAAAGAGAGCAGTGGCCCGTGTGCAAGCGCACATCCGTGCCGGTCCTGAAAGATGCGGGAGCGTTCACCGAAGAAGGTCGCCCTGATATCCTGGGAGAAGCCCAGGATGGTTGATCGGGTTTGACTGCGAGAATCACAGCTGAAACGATGCAATCAGGGGAGTCAGACTGAGGAATATACTAGTAGATACTAGTAGCTAGAAGCTAGGTTGGAGGCCATTACTACTAGCTAGAAGCTATTAAATTGGGAGCCAATGATTGGACGCACCTTGAAGAGGTGAACCATGCGGGTGCGAGTCAGATCCTTCGATCTCACAGCGCACTCGAAACGATAAAGCCCACCGATGCGAGAAACAGAAGTGTCACACATCACAATACCACCCAGGGTTCATGAAAACAAGTGCGACCGGGAGATCACTTAAAACACCATGTTCCTCATCCACCACAAAGGCTGCGTTTGGGTAATTTTGGCGATGCTATAGGGGCTTCGGTCCACAACCAACACCTTTGACAATCAGTATGTCTATCAAACTGGTATTCCCAAATATTCCAGTGTCATTGTGTTCTGGAGGTTCTAGTTATCCTGTATTCCACTATTTCCAGACCCTGATGTCAACCGGCAGTTTCTCATTAATTAATCACTGTCATATGAAGCTATTCCCTCTCCACGTTTCAGAGTAGCTCGTCCACGTTAAAACCAAGCCGACCAGCTCAGGCAGGGGCCAAGTACCATCCAGATCGTACCTTCGCTGCCTCAAACAGGATCCGAAACGGAGAAGCGGTGAAACCCACATCCGACGCCAAAAGCGTCCGTGATCCGCTGTCGAGGCGGCCAAGAAGTTGGCAGGTTTTAAGCGAAAAAACATGGGATGAGGGTGAACTGAATTGGAACTGACACATGGTACGAGCAATTACTGATATGAAGAGATGAACAAACGAGATGGGGCCATACCTTCTTTTGTTCATCTCATTCTTCTTCATTGATTTTCTCAGCATGGCATGAAGCAGCTGGGGGAACCATTAGTAGCACGATATCTTTTCTCTCCAAATTTCCCACGTCGGAGGACATGTGAATGAAGAGATCGGGGATATGCGGACTTCCTCAGTCGAGTTGTGGAGAGCACATATTGTGGGGAACTCTTCCATTGTTCATGTTGATTCTAGATGATCTTAGGGAAGACCTGCAAATGGAAGATTCCACCAAGTCCACAGGAGGGATGTTCAAACTTGTGGTTACGTCAACGGACCGGCACGCTTTTCTTCCAGAGTCTGCCATGTATATCCTAGAAAAGCACTCCAAGTTCATTCAGTCATAAAGCATGCCATAAATATGCTTTAAGACAGTGCAACAATGAAACTGCATTGAGATCCTCCATTCAGATTATTAAGAGGGTCCTTCCAGGATTCTGGAATGGTCTATCCGGCCAATCAACAACTGCTTCCTGTTCATCAGTTGCCCACAATGACCTACTTCGTCTCCCCTCTGCAGTCAGCTCCCTCACCCGTTCGCCTGTGCCGGTCCGGAAGGCGTGCCAAAGCCCTCCAGCACGATTGGGGTGAACGGCCAGCGCCGGTGCAGCGCAAAGCGCAGTTCCTCCGAGGCCTGGGCGCCGCGAAGAAGAGCGGAGCGATGCGCCGTTCGCGGACGTGCAGCGTTTGGAGACACTTTTGCTTGGCTTCAGCAGTAGCCATGCGTGCAATTTGCTCTATTTTCTCCAATTCGGGAAGCACTGGTGTCGGAAAATTGACGCAAACAAGAAACAGTGCTCGAAAGGCCCACGATTCCTCAACCTTTGCCAGCTTGAATCTTTGGGCTGTCTGCTCTGCAGCTTAACTTGGTTGGGAGTTCTCTTCCTCAACCATCGAGAACCATCAAGGATAAAAACGAAAAAATATATATATATAATATACACACCAATTTTAACTATATAAGTCTTGGATCTATTCGTTCAGAAAGTGGCAGCATAAGCACAATATTTAAATCCATCAAGAGGCATGAGGTAAAGCCCAATGAGTTGGTATTGGCGGTTATAACTGCCCTTACTCATACCTACCCCTACTACCACTGGGAGGCGTCAATGCAAACAAGAAGACTGAAGAAATCAAGCTGTTGCAGTCAGGAAAATCCACCACCCTGTACTCCCCCCCAAAGCCAACGCCAAACCCGTACCACTCTTACCCCTCGCGTTAGGCGCATCTCTTCAAGGCCTTCTGGTTCTTGTTGTAGGTCACCCTGATGCGCTTCAAAAAGCTGGGCTCCTGGGAGCAAGGACACTACTAGTAACAAGGGCATCGCTACTAGGTTACTAGGAGCAAGGACGCTACTAGGGGCTCCTGGCCTTACTACTAGGAGCAAGGACGCTACTAGTAACAAAGGGGGGGTTACAAAAAACACCGTCTCCTGGGAGACAGAACACGTGTCTCACGCTGTGTCACCAAAGCCCGCTTTCGTTTCAGTCCGGGATAGTTACGGATATATAATGATATATATTATATATATATTAATATAGCTATATGCTCAATGCTCAGGTTGAATGAACAAAGAATCCTTCCTTTCAGATGCTCAAGCCCAAGTAAAATATAGGCCTACCCAGTCCTTGAAAAGGGAAACATCTGAACCTGGGCAGCATGATGAGCAGAAAATCACTGGCTCAAGATCCAAATCATCGAAAATGTTCCTCCTGCATGCCGCATAGTATGCCCCTACCTCCAAAATCCTCACCAGCTTTCTGTGAGGAGCTATTTTTACTTGCTTTTGGAATGGACCCTGATGTGGATGCGATTGAGGGCCAACTTGATGTCGTGAGAGCAGTTCAAAGAAATTTGCATCACCTGATGTGAGATAGAGAAATCGATGATTGAATTCCAATGCAGGCTTACATCATCCAACGGCGCTGCAAAATGCCTTTCTGCATCGAACATCGTCCGACTTTTCAACTCCAACAGGTCCAAAACAGGTTCCTGTTGGACCAGCTAGGTGACCAGCTGACTGGTTTGAAACATCAGCTCGGGTGGGATCCGCGACGAGGATTTTTATTTGGAGGAAGGAGCGGTTTTTCGTTCGTCGTCCCGATTTGGCTCGAACTCCCAGAGCCATCTATGTCTTGCATCAAGCTGAGCCACTACACCACAAAAAGCTAGGTTCGTTCGTCATGCGTCGGAAGGACACTTCCTGCGGTGCTGGAGGAAGTGCAAATGCAAAGAAATGCATCTCACTTGGGACACAATGTTGGAAACCAAGCCTCGGGGTATCATCTTTGGGGTATCAATGTGCTTGAATTCAAGATGATTCAAGCACTCTACTTGGGAAAGTCTAGGCCAAGCATTGTACCACACACAACCTCTGAACTTTAGGAACCAGTGACTCTCTTGGGGTCAGTAGCTTAGGATACGATAGGATACGGGATGCTTTGACAAATGCTGATCAAAAGGGTTAACTCGTTAACTAGGCAGAAGGCAGAAGGGAACAAAGTTCGTTGGCATCAAAGAAGTCTGTCCAACTGCAGAACTATCCTGGCCTACCTGGTCTCTCAAACCAAGAGGATCTCCCCAACCCCCTATTTGTTCTACCAAAGCCGTCAATCCATCCATGCACTTTAGCTTTAATCATCTTGGATCCCATTGGATCCCAGTACCCGTAGAACTGCTGTGAATCCCACTTCCATCCATGGCCATTGCTTGGCTTTTCGCGGCCCGGCCGGCCGTAGAAGAAACCGCCGGAAAACCAACCGGCCGTTGAAAGGGCCCGGGCCACAACTTCCCTTCAGTCCTGGGAGGCCATGGTACCAGCAAGTTGAAGGCCATCACTGGAGAGCACCAAACTCAGCGAAAGGAGATCCTGGCTGCAACAGGGCTGTTGACCTCTTTGAAAGCAGCAAACCGATCCACGCTTCGCTTTGTCAAACAGGTCAAGTTCTGGCTCCGCGGCTCCGCAGTCCCGACCAAGTCCCACACACAGGACGGAACGCCGCCAGAAGATGTGCTAAGTCTCACATCTACTGACCATCTGATCATCTGAAACATCTGCACACTTTTTCGCAGAGTCGGAATCATCCAACGCTCAGCACTTCCAAAGCTCCTGGCTCCCACGTTCGCCCACCGACACCGACGTCTGCTGCACCTCCTCAAGCACCGCTGAGCCGCTGAAGGTCCGTGTCTCTGCCTGAGAACCGGGGGGATCAAAGGTGCACATTCCTTTGTACGGCAGGCACGGATATATATATATATATATGCGAAGCTCACTGGCGCAAACGCGACGATCGATGCCTTTTCGGCAAACGGGGGTGGCGCTTGATCCATGACCACCGGACACAAGTGGACATGTGACTCTGAATGAAATTCTGCACAGGTGGTACTCCTAAAGTGCCAAGTCAATCTAATGGTCCTTTTCCTTGTTGCTTTCGCCTACGACCAGAAACCAACCCCTCATCGTAAACAATCCGCCATCTCCCGTTCCTGTCGTTGAACATCAGGACTTGCTGAGGTTCGTCCAGTTTGGTCAAACGGTTTGCCAATTGGCTTTCTCGATTGACCCATCGGAGATGAACATGATTTTCTTCCAAGGCCTCGTTCAAACAGAGGGGTTCGATATCACTTCTTTTCTCGGCTCCAGAAAGGGTCCAAATGGTGGAGCTCAAGCGATCATAAAGGTTCTTAGAATCACTTATGAGCACTCCTTCAACAAAATTCACCGTCTCGTTCAAGTTCCAAATATTAGCATGTTTTCCCAAAACTCCGCAACTTGAAACCTCATGGCGTAAAGTTGGCCCTCTCCGTCGACGGCAGCTCGCGTTTCGGCGGATGCGCTCGAGCGGCAAACACGATGAATTTTTGATGAGCTCTAAAACACGGGATTCACTGGTTCGAGGGTTCCTTCAAGCAGCTTTCGTGAAGTACAGCCTAATAATGCTCCTTTGGTACTGCTCACATCTTGGCGGTTTCCATGTGCGGCGTCCACCCATGTGGCAAGGATGATTTCTTCCTTAGGAATGGTGTGGATGATCATGCTCTGTCCTTGTCTTTGTTTGGCTTTCTTCAACAGCTTATTTGTTTCGACGACTTGGAGAGGAGAAGTCCTGTAGGCGCACCCCATTCCATGGCCAATTGGCCCGCATGCCAAGCTAGACAACCCAAAACACTTCTCATCTGTTGTCGCTCATCCGAGGTGGCTTTGTCGTCGGGGTTCTCGAATCTCTGCTTTGTCAAGTATATCTCTGATACCTGGTCAAGGAACTCACGTTGCGAAAGCTGAAAGGAAAAGTCACTTCGTTGTTCAATTGTCACTCCACATTGAGTAAACTTTCCTTTCCCATTCTCCAAATTTGAAGCGGGTGGTAATAGCTTTCTTGATGTGGTTCCAACGAGGGTCTGTTGCTGAGCCTCCAAACATGAAGTCGTCAACGTGGGAGCAGATCCATCCGATCGGCTCCTGTCTTTCACTGTAGAGACCCCAGCAGCAGGGGTCCGACTTTTGTCGAATGAACCCTTGTTGCTCCAGAAACTCGTCCACTGAAAGGTAGAACTCCAATGGTGCTTGTACCAGACGGTATGCGGCCTTTGCCAATCTCATGGTTGTTCCTTCCGGTAATTCCAATGCTTCTGTGATTTCTTTGAGAGGTTCAATGAAGAGTTGGTCTTGAAATTCACGGCCTTGTAAAAAATGCACCTGAAATGTCTCCCTTTTCGACTGTGAACTTATGCGCTGCACAGAGAGTCAAGAACAATTGCCTTGTGCTTTTGTTCATCGTAGGGCTACTTGTTGGTCGATATTCATACAAAGGGTCTTGGTAGCCCAAAATGACTGCCCTGGCTTTAGCTTTTCTTTGGTCTGGTTGTTCTTTGTCACATTTCCATGTCAAGATCCATCGCATTCGCAGGATCTGTTTCGGATCAGGCTTCAGGCCTTCTGGAATCTTCTTGAAGACTTCGGCAAGGATGTAGTTCTTCACTTCTTTGCTCTTGGCTTGTTTGAGTTTGAGTTGCTGAAGTTCTTCAGGTGTAAGTCGTTTTTCACTTACCTCCACATGGTTTTTCCTGGTCTGACTATGTAGGCGCCGAGATCTCGCATCCACATGCCCTTGCGACCTTGTTTCCCAGTCGGAAGGTCTATGGAGACCAGTATGCACCCATTTTCTTCTTCGAGATGAGTTGCTGGTGTGGGTGAGCTCAAAGCCATAAGGATGTCATCCTCTTGGTCTTGCAATCTTGGGTGTTTTGAAGGTGGTACTTCAGGTTCTGGCCCTTTCCTCCGATGTCGGTGTCGAGGTGGTGGAGGTGGTTCAGGAATCAACTCTGGTTCATCCTCTTCGTCCACTTCCATGTTTGTTGGCGGTGGAATGTGAGTGAGGTCATCATGCACTTTCTTCCGTCCTTGCCCAAGGATGGAAGTGAAAGTCCAAGGAATGGGTTGATCTTCTTGGAGCTCTGCCCATGCTTCCTCCCTTTCACTAGCTGGTCTTAAAAGCTGGGGGGGTCACTTTGAGCAGTCTTGTTCCACGGAATATCCATATGTTTCACTGGGTTCCCTGGTTCCATCGTCGCGAAGTTTCGTTTCGACAGTGAGAACTCGAGCGGGACCAATGAACCCTCCCTTTTTGAAACCTTGGTTGTTCATTTCAGATCCATGACCACCCACCTGTTTCCTCCAATAAAACACCAAATCACCGGGCTTGCAAGTTTTCACCGGACGACCGCCTGACGCATTCGCACGCGCGATTCTATGCTTGTATTGTTCTTCCAAAAATGTCTCTTCGGCCGTCTTCATGGCTTTCATGTCTTCCCCAAATTCCGCGGAGATGCCGTGTTCCGTGATGGTTGGGATATCATCACATCCATAATTATGGAGGTGTCCCTGCTCATTGGGACTTCGTCCAAGCACGTGTTGGAGAGGGGAGAAGCCAAGATATTGGTCTCGAGCATTCTGGGCCCACAGGGCTCTGAAGAAAACTTCACGACTTTCCATTTCGGGGAACTCCAACGCAAGCTTATCCATCACACTTTTCGTCGTCTGGAAAGCTCTCTCAACAAGTGAGAGCTTCCAGTGGGCTTCAGCCGGGATGAGGTCTCCAAAAATCTTGTTCTTCAACAAATATACATCAACCATTTCAATTGTAAAAGCTCCCGCAGGATCCATTTTCACCACCGCCGGGGGACCAAACAGAGGTTTCCAATACTCCTCCATATATTCAACAAGTCCTCACCCGTCAAACTGATCTTCTTTCCTTTCTTGAGTATCTTACCTCTTCGAAACCTACTCCCTTCATCAATCCCCAACAAAAAGTGAAAGGGTTCCTTCGTTTCAGGGCGAATCCAACTGGCTCCATCAACCTGAATCTTGGACCATTTTGGGGGGATATCTTCCACCGAGGCTTGTTTTCGTGGTGGCGCATCGCGTCGCTCTTCGCAGCTCGCGCGCCGAAACTGTCGAGCGAGTTCGATCGCGTGCGGAGTAGCGTTCCGACGACGAAGGGCCTTCACAAGATACTCTTTGCTACAGTGGCCAGTAGATGAATGGATCCTTCTCAGGGCCTGCATGACCTTCTTTGTTCCTGGTCCATCACAAGACTCATGTGTTCTTCTTGGAGAAAATCCTCATGAAACAATCCATGGTCCATATCTCCAACAATGTCGTTGCCGTCCACAAGTTCCCTAGTGACTTTGTGGCAAAGGTCTCTTGACTTCAAACATTGGATCACACGTTTGCAAAAATATTTCGCGTAGAAAGCGGTTTTCCTACACCTTTAGTTTCCTTCACAACTACCGTGAACATGATCACCAGAGTATTTGAGACTCATATGTTGGATTAAACCCTTACTGGTTTCCAACATGCGCCACTGCGCCACCCTTTTGAAGTCCAACCTGACAACCTTTGCACACGCCACTCACACACTCAACTTTCTTTTGGAGGTTCAAAAAGGGTTCCAAATTCCAACCTTGGCATTTTTCCGAAAGTTCAATGACAAAAGGAATGCGCAGGCTGTAGGCATGAAGTGCAATTTCACATGCTCCCTGGTATTGTTTGAGCGCGTGCGCTCTCTTTTCCTGAAGCTGCTGTCGTTGTGCGGTCGACCTCATGTTCAGGTTCTGCATTGGGGAGTATGGTCCACATTCGGGTGAGATCCAATTAATCTCCGGCCGTTTCTCTTCCAAAAGTTTCTTGACATACGCAACTCCGGCAGGGGTTTCAATGTCTCCTCCATTCATATGGGACACTCGTTGTGCGGTTCCCGAGCCAAACACCTCTTCACAGGTCCTCGAGAGCTCACTTCACTGTTTTCGCTACAACACACCTCTAAAACCCTCAAACGACCACCAAAAGCAACACGACACCAATCATCCTCAAAATCACGAGTAAAACCATAAACAATGTCTTTCTTTCCGTGATCACTCAGAGGCTGTTCAGTGTCCCCTGTGGATGGTGTTTCTTTGGCAAAGGCATGATTCTCACTCAGATCGGCGAGTCCTCCACTTTTCGGGTCTTCTCCTCGGCTTTCTCGGAAGGCGGATCATGGACTGCTGGCGACGGAGCTCGAGAATCTGTTCCTCGATCCCTTGCGTCCATGGGCACATGCATGGGGATCTGGACAAACGATGTTTCGGTTCCACTGCCGCTTGAGAACGAGGGCTCGATGATGCGCCCTTGAGTACCCTTGGTCTTGGTTGCCGCTTTGCTCTTCGGCTCGGGCTTGCTCAGAAAGGACCTGGGCAATCCCGGAGGCAGATTGGAGTGATTGTCCATCCAACTGAGAAAACGGCGAATTTGCCAGCAAGTCTGTGGGTCCTCTGCAGTGATGGTTTTGCACCAGTTCACGTAACCTTGATCCTGGAAAGCCTCTTGGTAGGTGGAGGTCGACTTCCCATACGCCATGAGATCGGTGGCTGTCGGAGTGGTCTGTTCCATGATTGCTTGATTTCCCATAGGGCCAGAAGTCGAGGAATGGTCTCGTTCCCAGTCAGGGTCACCTTGAGCTGTTCTCGGAGGTGCTTCTGAAGCTCTGGCTTCTTTTTTTTTTTGCTTTGTTCAATTCGATCATCAGGAATTTGGCCAAATTCTGCGATGGGGCGACTTGGTCCTTCAGCTCGACGTACCTCGCCTCGAGTTGCGTCTTGCTCCAACTCTGAGGCGGCTCTTCTCCAAGTTCCTGGATCTTTTGGCGGAGAATGTCCTTGGTCATCCCTGTCATGATAGCTAGGTGAAATCTCGAACGTGTGAGGGCTTTGAATTTGAGTGTCACAAACGCCTGTGGTTTGGGCGACTGTTTCCGAACGATCGATCTTCGAGGTCCCGAGATTGCAAGTCCCACTGGTCGGTTTTTGTTGGTAATCATGGTTTCCGGACATGTTTTCACCCGTTTGGTTGTTTTCTTCTTTGCTTTGGAAGGGAGATGGCTCGTTGTTTCCGATTTCATGTTCATGAACCAACCCCACCTTATAAGGAGATAAACCATCACAAACCTGGGACCTTGGTGATATGATTTGGCACTTGTACTGACTATCTACATCCCTCTCTGGCCTGTCAGCTTCTCCATTTTGCCGGAGAGGGTCATGTCCCTATTCGTGCGGATCAAGCAAACTCGTGAAAGGCTTTTCCCTTCGTAAGCTCTGGGTATATACATCAGCAGTAAGTGGAAAAACTTGGCGGCCATTCGGAGTTGTCTCCAGGTCTATGACGCTCTGAGGGTCCACACGTGTCAGGATCATCTGGTTCTTGCCATAGTCAGTCACTGCCCCTAGGCTTCGCAGTGAAGCGATGCTCAAAAGGATGGGCTGATTGGGGATGTCACGCACGTGGACTTTCATCGTGCTCATACCTCCTCGGAGAGGAACTGGCAGCTGGGCCGTTGACAGGCATGTAGTGCGTCCGTTGTTTCCAAATCTGAAGCTATAGGCCTTTCAGTTGGATCAATTTCTACGTCAACGTGGTGGCCCTGTTCGTCATTGATGGTCAGGACACGGGACATGGCATCAACACTTCCAACGGTGGAAGTGGCACCTGGGTCAATGATGGCCTTCCCAGAGTCAAGCAGCGATCCCATCGCTATTTGAATCTGGTTGTCAAAATCTGCTGTTGTTGTATTGTCTGTAGCCTTTGGCTCAATGTAGTCACACGAGGCTGCGGCAAATGTGAAATGTACTGATTGTTGTCCTTTAGGATCATCTTTCTTCGGGCAGGAGTCAGTGGAATGGGAACCACCACATCGAAAGCACTTCTTGTGTGTAAGTGCGTTTTGCCCCTTGGATAGCGCCCAGTGCTTCTTCTGATTCTTGACTGAGGTGGTTGTACTCGTCAACCTCTTCCTCAGTCATCCATGTTTGGTGCCGGTGCTGTTTGTTGTCTCATCATGTAGGAGGATGTCATCCTCCTCATCATCCATGTAGAGTGCTGAGCCACGAGACTGGTCTCTTCGTCGTAGATCTTCTTCTGTCCAGTTCAATTTCAGGGCCTCCTTGACCCTGGTTGTAGTGAACTCATTCTTGAGGCTTGCGATGATGGTAGCTCGCTCAGAACCGTCAAGTCCTGAGCGCTGCAAAGCATCCATGCTACCACAAAATCTGGTAGGAACTTCTCTGCTTCTTCCGAAGCCTTGTCCGAGATGTCGGCCTGGTGCAACGTCTCCTTTGTCACATGCCCCTTGTCTTCGGAGCTCCAGCCCCTGTAGTTCCACCAGCCATCATAGCCCACCATTGATGATCTTCCCAAGTCCATGCTGCTTCATCACCTTCATATAGTGCATCTTCTTCTTCATCATCATCCTTCATTCTGCCATTCGCATCGAATGGCTCCCGGTCAGGCTGACGATCTTGAGCACGTCCTGAGTGTCGACTGCTGTTACCATGGATTGAAGGCACCTTTCCGGCTGAGAACTTAATGAGTGAGGACCTCCTAGAGGAATAACCCTGTCCATATTCCTCGATGGCCTCACCCAATGTCCTTCTGGCCTCATACAAGGCCTCATCGTGCCTAACAATCCAGGCATTCATGCATTCACCCTTCCGACGCTTGACCTGGTAGAAGAACTTGCTGATTGCTTTCCCTGCTTCAGCCAATGTGGGAGCTTGTGCCTTGGTCTTCAAAAAGGATAGCAGTTCTTGAGCGCTTTCATGAGATATCCACCCTGGTGACTTGTGTTGAACTGCGATCTTGGCAGCTCCTTCAAGGACTGCTTGCAGGCGGGGTCCAGCAAGTGTTCGTTTCTTCCATTCCAGCGTTTCAACATAATTCAATGCAGCACGCTTGTATAGGCTATGTATTGGTCTGACGACCCATCATAGATAGGTGTACCATCTTTGCTGTATCGCAACTCTGACATCTTGCACGCTCCAGCAACAAAGGATCACCTCCTCGATGTCCCTGGATCAACTCACGGCTCATTTTGGAACCTAGAAACGGCTCATTTTGGAACCTGGCTCATTTTGGAACCCAGACGAAAAGAAAACTCACCGGGACTGCAGCGTGAGACCAATTTCGCGGCTCATTTTGGAACCTGCATCATTCGGTAGTGCTTCGAAGGTAGTATTTGCTAGTGAAAATGAGTGTTTCGTACGAGACTTCCTCCAAAAGTGAGCCGCGGAAGTCTCCAGAACGAGCGTTTTGTACGAGACT